TACATTTCTGTATTTTCCATAGAATTTAAATTTCCATAGTAGAATTCATTTCCACTAACCGACACTGGGATTCGAACTTGGGTTACCTCATTGGGAGGCCAATGTTCTATCCGCTGAGCCACCGCAGCTAAAAATCATTTAGTATTGATAGTTTTTTGTAAAAAAAGCGTAGATTTAAAGCAAAATTAATATTATATATTTTTTTCATAAGAAAGTAATCAAGCCGAACACCACCCATTTTCAGGGAGCAGCAGTACGCTTCCCAGTGTCCTGTTCATCACTGGTAGGCCTTGGTCCTCCTTGGGCAGTCGAGTCATCGAAGTTTAGTTTAAGCAGTTGGAATTTTTTTAAAAATTCGATTGAGGATTAATTCTATTTGAGAGTTTCGAGGATTTAATTTCTGATTATAGTAAAATAAAGTTCCAATCTGGTTTCTTATAAAAAAATAAAAAGGACAACTGGAAATTCTGTCATTAGTAGTTCTATTCTGGTTCCCCGGGAAGTCAATGTAAAAAAAAATTCTGTACAAGACTTCAAAAAAAAAAAAAAAAACCCTCCACAAAGGCTTAAATAAATTGACACAAGCTTTCCTTAAGGCAAAAAAAAAAAAAAAAAAAAAAACCCTTATTAAAGCAACAGCTTAGGTTCAGGTAACTAAAACCTTCATGAAAACTGCAGCTTTCTAAAGGGTTTATAACTTTTAAAAAAGTTACAGATATTTTGCATATATTTTACTTTAAAAAGGTTTCAGTCTTTATGAAGTATTCCAATAGTTATAAATGTTGCATTTTTTTAAGGTTTTCTTAATCGGAACATAAGCTGTAGTTTTTTAAAGGTTTTTTTCCCTTTCTTTTTCAAACCAATTCTTTTTAACATGAAGTTTTTTTTAAAAAAAAAAATTTTAGCAGACTTTTTTACTTTTAAAACAGCGGCAGCCTGTAAAAAACTGAATAGTAGAAAAGCTAGTTTAAAGGTATTTTATTACTGAAAATCATTACATTGATTATTTAAACAATTTACCTCCTGAAATGAAGCATTTTTTGCTGTAATAAATTTGCCCAAGAATTATAGTTTTTTTTCCCTTTTTTTATCGCCTTTTCATGCCAGTTTTTTGAAATCCAAGCATAGTTACAAAAAGGATTTCGTTTTAAAAGTATAAGAAAACTATTCCAGACGCATAATTTGTTTTTTTTTTAATTTTTATTTTTTTCAAACTTTTTTTTTTGGAACTAATGTAACAATATTTTGTACTGTTATGCGTTTTTAATTAAACAGTTATGAAACATTCCACGAAACTGTTAAATTCTGTGCTTTTTTCTTCCAATAGAGTTAAAGAACTAATTGTAATGTCTCTAATGTCTGTTGGTCGAATCATCTATTGAGGCACGTCAAATTTTCCGATAATGATGTCAGTCTTTAGCACATAAGATTTTCTTCTTAAGTACTGAACACGATTGACAGTCTGCTGGATATGGCTTTTTTCTACTGAAGGTCAACCTCTGTTTTCCACGAAGTCCCACACAATCTTTTTCAACCTCTGCTTTGTCATTTTTGCTTTATGAGGAAATCAGGGTATCCTTATACATCTAATCATCTCCGTTGAACAGAATTACGTAAATGATTTTATGTATAGGATTTCCATTTTCAAGTACTGGACACAATATAGAATCTGAAAGATCACGCCTAGAATGTAGACCATTGTTTGCTTTCTTTGAAGTCCCATACATCATACAATACATTATCGCTGAATTATTTTGGCCATATTTTTTTTCCTTTTTTTTCAAAATTTTTATTTTGCTCAGTCTGTTTTTTTTTTCTTTCCTTAATCTTTTTTTTTTGCTTAATTTTTTTTGCTTAATATTTTCTTTCTATACTTTTTTTTTAAATTTTATTTTATTTATTTATTTATTTTTTTGCAAAATGTATAGTCTGCTGGATATAGAACTGATTGCCAATATTTTTTTCCCAACAAAGTCCTACGCATTCTCTTTTAACAGTTGACGATTTCTTAAGCTGCGATGCTGTTTTTACACAACTTTGTCACCAATGCTAACCCCAATCTATAATCAAATGATTTTTAAAACTGGCAGCTGTGCCAACTATTTTAGTTTTCAATAAAATCTGTCATATTCAGCTTAAACCACCACTGAATTGTATTTCCATGGATACTTTTTCTTTTATCCACTGTGGAAATAATTAAAAATATTTTTGTTTTTGATATGTACAGAATAAAATTTTGTATAATAATCAATCATTAAATAAATGGATAGCTTTAATTACATACAGACATATCACAATCTTACATAAACTATGTATTAGGTTAATGCTTGCTTTCTTCTTTACATTATACTTTTTAAAAAATTTTCTAGTAACTGTGTCAATGCTCTGGCATTCATAAGCCAGGATAACGACAATTTGCCATATTACGGCATTTAACTTTACTTTAATTTAACATTTCGGTCAAAGAAGTTTACTTTCCGCCGAAAACAACAGGATTTCTTGAAATAATTCAAGTAAATCTATATAGTTTATGCTATTAATGATTTCAAAGTGTTTATTTAAGCAATTTACTTACTGAAATGTCCCATTTTTCGATGTAATAAATTTACCCAAGAAATTTAGTTTTTCCACCTTTTTTATGACATTTTTATAAAAAAGGGAAATCATTTTTTAAATCCAAACACAGTTATAAAAAGGATTTCATTTAAAAAATAAAAAAATAAAAAATATTCCCGACACATAAATTGAGTTTTTTTTTTCATTTTTATTTTCTTTCGAATTTTTTTGGGACGTCAATTGCAAAACTGATATTTTGTACTGTCATACGTTGTTAATGATACAATTAAGAAAAATTCCGCGAAACTAAGTGGTTAAATTCTGTGCTTTTTTCTTCCAATATCGTTGAAGAGCTAATTGTAATGTCTCTGTGTAAGAATGTCTGTTAGGCGAATCATCTATCGAGACACGTCAAATTTTCCGATAAGGATGTCCATCTTTAGCACATAAGATTTTCTTCCTTCAATACTGAACATATTTTACGGTCTGCTGGATATAGCACTTTTCTACTGTAGGCCAATCTCTGTTTTCTACTAAGTCCAACACATTCTCTTTCAACCTCTGCTTGGTCATTTTTGCTTTATGAGGAGGATCCTGGCATGTTCATAAGTCTAATCGTCAATCGTCTCCATTGAAGAGTCTTACGTAAAAGCTGTCAGATGTTGGATTTTCTTTCTTAGGAAATGAACACAATTTATAGTCCATAGGATATAGAAAACGTCTACTGAAGACCAATGATTGCTTTTCTTAAAGTCCCACACAATACATTATTATCGCTAAATTATTTTGATTGTCATTGTTTTTTTTATTTATTTTTTTTTTTTTTAAATTTTTGTAATGATTTTTTTTTTTTTTTTTTTTTTTTTTTTTTTTTTTTCTTTGTTTTTTTTTTTTTTTTTTTTTTTTTTTTTTTTTTTTCTCAGTCTTTTTCGTTTTTTTTGCTTAATCTTTTTTTTCCTTGCTTAATCTTTTCTTTCATTTACTTCTTTTTTGTTTAATCTCTCCCTCTTCTTTTGCAAAATGTATAGTTTTTACTGCCAATTTTTGCTTTGTGAAGAGGACATGTCGTAATCTCTAATCACCTCTATTGAACAGGTTCACATAATGTAATCCCGATCAAACTATTATGAAATTTTACGTATTCCACCTTTTGTTCAAATCAATCATTTTAACTTCATACAGGATGTAAATGTTTTTGACTATCATCAGTTGAGGTATACAGTACATCTATTGGAATTTTCATCACATCCTTTCTAAAAAACTGTTGACGATTTTTCAAACTGCGATGCTATTTTTGCACAACTTTGTCACCAATGCTAACCCCAACATATAATCAAATGGTTTTTAAAACTGGCCACTGTGACAACTGTATTCGTTTTCAATAAAATCTGGTATATTCAGCTTAAGCAACAACTGAATTGTATTTCCATGGATCTTTCAAAGTTGAAAATTGTCTCAGTCTAAAACAGAATTTATCAGTGGCTGTTAGTAGCATGCTGCTACCACAGTGCTTGCGATTGTAAGATTTGTCTGGTCTTTAATCTTTAATAACCAAATAGCAGAAAGTCATTGTTTATTGCGTTATGCGCTGTTTTTTATGATATTTTCTTCGTTTTATCAAGAAGAGACTTCTTTAGATAAATATTTCGTTAGATTTTTCCGCGACTGCAAACTTCTGTTCGATGCGACGTTCATACTATTGCACTATGAACTATTCATACTAGTGCATTGTACTGAAAGTCTAATCACAATACGTGGAAATCTGTATACTATTTTTACATGTGTTTGGATGCTATGCTGTTTATTTTCATTTTAACTTCGAATTATTTAAAATTAAATCGAAGTAATCTATTAAGCAAGCATTTAATTTCTTTCGCAACCAACTCATAAATGAATCTTCTACAAGTACACTGTTATTATTAGTGGTAGGCTCACGCAAATGATTCTGAATGGCTATTATATTTGGAGGATGTGAAGTTTGTGTACTTTCAGAAATCATTTTCTTTTTTGGAACAGGTTTTTGGTTTTTGGCAAATTCATCAATTTCTGAGAACTTTTTTAATTCTCGAACTTTGCTTTCCAATGATGCATTTTTGCACTTTAGCATTTTATACTCCTCATTTAAGTCTTCAACTCTTTTCACCAATGAATTAGTATGCGTGCAATTCTCACATTTTTTGGAATCATCTTTTTCAGTTGTTAGCTCATATTCAGTGTTGGCCTTTTTTGCTTGCAGTGGTTTTACACTGACATCTGCAACACTTTTTACTCCCTGGTTTCTACGCATACTAATCATTTGGTTTTCCTCTGCACAAAAATGTTTATCCATTTTGAATCGGGTCCTGTTCCGATCTTACCACAATTGCTAAAGAAGCAGTGGCCAATTGCCTTTCCGGCATTCCACCTATTCCTCTGATCGGGCATCAGAAAAGTGTGAATAAAATTCAAGACAATCTTAATTTGCCCGTCTGCAATGCNGAATCGTGTCCTGTTCCGATCTTACCACAATTGCTAAAGAAGCAGTGGCCAATTGCCTTTCCGGCATTCCACCTATTCCTCTGGTCGGGCATCAGAAAAGTGTGAATAAAATTCAAGACAATCTTAATTTGCCCGTCTGCAATGCCCGTCGCGGAAAATATTCCAAGCACGAAGCTCTTAAAAACATCCTCCTGAAAAAAAATGCCGTTAAAATTTTTAACACATTATGCTTATAATAATTTTTAACACATAATGCTTATAGTTTTTTAACACATTATGCTTCTTTTTTTGCAAAAAAAAATCTTTTTTTCAGATGTTAATCTCCAAATTCCAAAACTTTCTACAAGCGTGAGCTATACTTAGGAATCGTGAATAAAATTCTAAAACTCCAAAGAAGCGTAATTAAATCTGTGAATGATAAAACTTTACAATTGAGTGTTATTATTTCTTTAAAATCTCAATTTATTTAGTCCTGAGCCTAAATATTTGGAATAAGTAAAATGTGAATAAAATGTTTTTTTTTTATTTATTTTTTAACCTATTATCTTTTTTTTAAACTTTGAATCTCCTCATATCTGTTAATGAATTATACAGTTAAAAATTGGGGAATAACATAAATTAATTTGAAATTTATTGAAGAATTCCAAGTTTTGACTTAAAAAGTTAAACTTTTGTGGTTGTGTCAACTCGAAAATTAATTCGCAGTAAAATATTTGATATTTGATATTGATTAAATGTCCAATCAAACTAGTGCACTATTATAAATAAACTCATCATAAATTTACTTATATCTTAAATATCAAACAAGGAATTTTAAAAATATTTCTTTATACTAAAACATATTTATTAATTTTTTACATCAAATTTTTCATTATTATTGATATAATATGTTTTCACCATATTTTGGTTGTCCATTTATGGTTGAAAAAGTTTTTAAACAAACTCGATTGAATGGATATTCATACCTAAGTATAAGCTACCTATATATATCCATATCTATATATACCTGGAGAATGTTGAACAGGATAGGATAGATGTCTCTGTTCCAGTTTCCGGCGCTGTTTATTGCTCTGGCCAGAGCTTTATTGGTGAAAAGCTCTAAAACCATCATACCAAACGCCCACAAGTCAAAAGCTTTGCCATCAACTTCTGCCCCACTTCCAAAAGATGGGCACGCTTCTGGAGGTCTATACATGAGCGGCAATCCAAGATCATCCCTGAAAAAAAAATTAACTTTAATTTAAAACCTTCTAAGCCACCAACAGTAAACTGGGACAGTGTCCATTTTGAAAATGGTTGAAAATTAAGGATCATAATCTTCAAAGTGACAAACTACCCAATGTGATTTTAAAGAGTTATAACGATTAAACATAATTTAGAATTGTCAGCTTATAATGTTCTATTTGTATTTCATTGTAACAGCATCATTCTGTCTTTCAGTTGAGCTTTATATAAAAATGACACACTACGTTTATTTAAACGTCGAAAATTTCAGCGATTTCATTCTTAACAAAACATTTTTGTTTTAATATCAGTTCACTATTTCCTTGTCCACCTTATTAATTTTAATCACCCTAATTGCCAAAAAATTTCTGCATTTCAATTTTTAATTTTTTTGAAGCACTTAACTGTGCTTTAATTTACTCTTTAAATTTCCTCCTCCGCTTGCTTACTGCTACCCACATGGTGAAGAATGCAATATTGGGGACTCTTTGATTTGGCGATAATTTTTGTTCAGTTTTGCTGCAACCTGTTTCTGGTTACCACGTATTCTTGGCTGCCTTTGCACTCAATGACGTCACCTGCTGGTTACCACAACTTTTTTTTTTTTTAATGTAATTGGTTCTTAGTTTATTTTCATATATATTTGCTTCTTTTCAAATCGCTGAATATAAGTGAGGACCCCGATTGTAAACTTTTACCCAAACCGTCTTTCTTTTTCCAATCTTTGCAGTGAAATTAAGAGATTCTAAGCTAAATATAATCTTAGTTGTACTTGAAAACGTTGTAAGTAAAAAATATTAACAGGAAAATGAATTTAATCCTCAAATGAAAACGCACTGAGCAATACACTTTGACTAATATTAAACAAATGCTAAATGGCCTACCTTGGTATTGCCTTTGTCGCACACGCCAAACAAGAGAAGTCACATATGACAGCTCTATAATCTTGCGAAATCAAGATATTGTCTGCCTTTATATCCAAGTGGCATGCCTCATTAAAGTGCAAATAAATTAGACCACAAAGGCTATCATTAAGCCACAATTTGAGGTAGTCTAGGGCACCTGATTGTCTCAAAAATTGCCCATCTAGAGCTGCATTTTGCAAATTGTCCCTGTAAATAGGCATTACAAAAACTCCTACATCAGGGTTAGTGAAGCTAAAGTATTGCAGGAGTGGGATGATATTTGGGTGAGACATTTTTGGCCAAATTTCAATCTCATTTTGCTTAATGACTTCCAGGGAAACAATCTTAACGGCAACTTCTTGGCCACAGAAGCCCGTCATTCTATATACGTCACCAAAGGCTCCAGACCCCAGCTTTTCGATGCACATGAAGTTGTGGGCTTCTAAAATTCTCATGGCATCCCTTTTCTGTTGGTAATGTTCTCCTGATAAATCAGGGGGGATGGGTTCTTGTTCATCCCAACCATGATCACTTTGATCAAAATGATCATCCATTTCTCAATCTACTCTACCAAAACGCAGGAAAAATATCCCAAAATCAATTTGCTGTTAAGCAAGAACTCTAAAACGCACAATCAGTGTTGAAAGCATAAGTTAGAATGGTCGAAAATGATTTTTCAAGTATTTAATTTAGTTTTTAATAATGAATATAGTTAATTGTTCATAGACTGACTTTTGTATTTAATTGTTAAGCAATAATTAAATTTTTTATACAACGAAATTTAAATGTGTTTTCCACTGTTTAAAATTAAAAAAAATGTAACTCATTGTTAAAAAACAGTAAATTAAACTTTCAGTGAAACTTTTATAGTGTTGAAATTTTATTATAAAAGACAAACCAAAAACTAAAATACTTTAATAACCATAATATATGTGTATCAATATATGGGAAGTGTCAATATATGGGAAGGATGCCTAAAAACCTGAATATCCTATTGAGTTAATTAAAGTTAATCAGTTACTGAAAAATGCAAACACAGACGAAAAAACGTTTTATTTGTCAGGAGTAGAAAAAAAACTTGAGTTACAAATACTTTTTTTGTATCAGGGGTTGTAACAAACCTGTTTGCTTAAATTTCTTACTACATTTTAAAATGGGACACAAGAATTAGATGGAAACTGCCTGCTCTTGAAAAAAAATTCGGAGTTTTTGATGTAAAATCGAGGTATTTTAAGATTAAAATGAGATATGCGTGAAAAGGTTGTTATTTGAGTTGTTTTACCTCACAAATACTTGAGGTGTTCTACTTTTATACCTTTAAGAGGTTTGTTATTTTTTAACTTTTAATTATTTAAAACTTTTGGATATCAATTCCCCAACTAAAGTTGACAGTTAGAATCTTATTATGAGTGTAAAAATAAAATACCTCAGGTAGAAAAGTTGTTAAGGCGTACACCCACTACATCCTGATCTTTCGTAGATATATAACAATCTCAATGAAATATAAAATAAGCTCTTTAGGTTGGAAAATAATATCTTAAGGTGTAAAATATAATACTTAAGGTGAATAATTGAGAACTTCCGATAGGTGTAAAAGCAAAACACTTTAGGTAGAAATTAAGTTATAGCGTGCACCCATTACAACCTTGTCAAACACCTTAGGTATACAATTGACAGCTTCTGTGAAGTATAAAATTAAACACCTCATTGAGTACCAAAGGTATTTAATTGAAAGCAGCGAAGTTCTTTATTGTCTATTTCCTATGTTTTGACAAGGTTTGTAGTGAATGCAAACCACAACCTCACATCTCTCTGAAGTTATTTGTTTTATTACCTGGATAATGAATCCTGGAAGGATAATGAATAACTCACCTGAAGTTAGGATTAGGATTATTACATTCGGATTATTAACCTTAAGTGACATTTTGACTTTAGGGTATTACTTACTTACGATCTTGTAAGAAAATTGCACTCGAAATGCTTTTGAGAGTTCGTGCTTGAAATGTCTACCGGAAGTTCATGAAATTGTTTAGTACCAATATTATAAGATATTTGTATAACTTAACTTCTTTTTTGAAGTTTGTTAATTCAACTATAAACTCTAACGAATCTATAAAATAAATATTTTGACGCAAGATTTTACAATTTAAATGGCGAATCTGAATGGATGAAATAATATTAATTTCCCTAACATTATACACATGAGAAAACATTTTTTAAACGAAAATATGAGACGTATACAGAAAAAAAAAATTATGAAATAGTGAATTAGGAATAGTTAACATCTGTGATCTTAAAAATATTTAAAAAAAAAGGATAATGACTAAATCTAATAATTTTATGGATGACAAGCATTTTAGAGATGAAGGCTAGTCAGGGGTTGTTCATTATCTATTTCATATGTTTTGACGAGATTTGTAGTGAATGCATATCACGGCCTTACATCTCTCTGAAGAGCTTTGTTTTAATAACCTGGATAATGAATCCTGGTGGGATAATGAATAACTCACCTGAAGTTAGGATTATTAACCCTAAAAGATATTTTTACTTCAGGGTATTATTTGCTATCTTAAGAAAAATGCACTCGAGATGTTTTTAAGAGTTCGTGCATGAAATACAGGCTTATATTTATTAACATGTGCCATCATGCATTTGTTTTTATAATTTCGTCCCATATAAAGTTGTTTATGCAGACTCATTATTTTCACTTAATTTACTTAAATGTGATTTAAAAGATTTGTTTCATTCCTTAGAAAAAAAATTGTTTGCCATAAAATCGTTTGATATTTTTCAGTGAATTTAAATTATATTAAAGTGTACTCTTATTTGTGATATTTCGTTTTGACCAACTTTTTATAAATTGTTATTTTAGAGTGAAAAATACAGGCTTTTATTTATTGATTTATGTGTTACACTACGATAATTCTAATCTGTAAAAGAGTGACCGGCATTTTGAACTTTTCCATATTTTATATACAAAGATGCTAAAAGTCTCATTATGTTTTTATTAAAATTTAAGAGTTACTTAATTTGATTAAAAACTTTTCTATTGAATCTAGTTTGTGCCTACCTTGACTCAGGTGCATCATATAATCAGGGTTAGGAATTTGTTCTGAAGAAATTTATAGAGCAAAATAGGAGAACTTGACCAATTCAATTTTTTTGCAATAACTATTTTGAGAATAGTTTGAATTTAAACAAATTATATTTAGTGCAGTACAAGAAAGTTAAATTCTTCACATTTACTTTTAAAAACATATTTTCATGTATTTTATCATAGTTTTATGTAAAATAAAACTACTTTTATAAAAATTAATGTGTTTGTAATTCTGAATTCAATGTATGATTCGTATTAGTATGTGATTTTTAATTTAATTGTATGAATAAAGTGATTTGTTTATTTAAGTGTATTAAGAGTCTGATTATTTTCTAACAGTTAATATTTTTTTAACTATTAAATTAGGTCTTAATACACTGTTCATAGTATAGTGAAAAAAACTGCGGCTGTTTTAATTTTCTTAGTTCTTTTTGTTCAATTCAATAAATTTTTTTAATACCAATTGTTCTTTTTTAATATTGGTGTGTTTAGAAAAGATGTGTTAAATAGTTTGAAAATTAATACTATAGATTGTAATTATAAAATATTTTATAACTTGTTTCAATAGTTAAAATTTTTATGTATTTCTTTTATTGAAAAAAAAAAGTTTTTTTTCTCACTTTAATTGAAAAAAAATCATTTCTACAAGAACAGTTTTTTATTGAACTTGCTATTCCTGTACCTTGCTATGTTATTACAAATGTCTTGTGCACTTTACATTATTCTTAATTGTCAATTTTACGTCATATTATTTTTCATTCATTTCATGTCACACATAAGTGTGACATCCGTACCTAACCGTATCCGGAAACATAACCAATTTTCGACCAAAGGTGCGTAATGATACCATTTCAATAAATATTTTTTAATGCTGTGACTTTTATTTTATACTATTTTTTTAAAGGTTCTCTATAAAATATTAATAATTCAATTGGAGTAAACACTTTCCGTTGAAAATGTTTCTATACTACACTGTCTTTTAATTTAAAACTCTCAAATTCTACTTTTTGAAAATGTATAAATAGTCCATTTGAGATTAATCATATGTTAAGATGGATAAAAGATGCAAGTTCTGCAAATAAAATGAAGTTGGTAAAAGAAACTAGTGTTCAAATAAATGTAATAGTGTTTATAAATATAATACTAAATGTATAATTAGTGTTTGGCTGATGGTTAATAAAATATTATTTTAAGCACTATTACCAAAAAATTCCGAGTAAAATATTTTCTTCATGAGCTAAAATGTTCTGTCTTAAGTAATTTTATTTATGTACACTTCAGCGAAAATAATACCACATAATATATATAATACTTCATAATATTTCAATGTTTAGCCTAAAATGTGTTAAACTGTTTTTTATATGCACCAAAAGCACGAGAATTAAAGCTGTTAAGAAAAATTTAAGAGTATTAAATTCGGTTTTTATCTAAAGGTATTCTCAGGCATTGAGTTGTCTTAAATGTATTATTCAGAATCAGTCGTAAAAATTTTCACATTAGCTGAAAAAAATCTGGCTCAAATCAGATTCGAATGATGAGCCACATTTACTAAAATTAAAAATTTTCATTTTTAAATTGTTCCGAAAGTGGGTAAACCCAGTTATTTGAGGAACAGCATTCTAATTTGTTATTAAGTGAGATATTATTATTTAAGCATTAAATTAGAAATAATTTAAGTGTAAAAGAACTTTTAATTAATGAAAAAAAAAATTGTTCAAGCTTATCTTTTTTTTTTCTCTTCCACTTATTCAAGTTGTCATAACCACTTTACATTTCTCCATTGAAAATTCCGCTCGTTAAATGAGCAACACATACAGCCGCGTCGAAGAACGTAATAATTCTTAGGAAAAAAAAAGATAGATATTTTTTTTTTACACAGATAAGTTCGAGTAGGCATTACAATTCAGAGAAATAAAAAATCAGTGGTAGCTATAAATATTTGGGATTAAATGAAACAGAAACGTTAGATTCTTATTTTACTTTATATGCCGACCTACACCTATGTAGGGGGCAGGGAACTGTGCTTGCATCAGAAAGGTTCTGGGTTCGAATCCCGGGCAAGGCATGGCTGTTTCTTTCTCTCTATCTGTATTCTATGTCCTTTCTCCTTTGTGTGTGAATGTGACCCGCCCTATAAACGGGTTGTGGTAGTGCGACGTGGGCGACACTGCTCCACCGCCGTGGCTCAGCCACAGGTGCCCACTGTGTAACGAAAAGAGAGTTAGCAGTTCTGGCACTTTCTGTGGCCGATAGACAATAGTTCCAAGTGCCCACCATTAAAATTTTTTTTTTTAAATTTAATTTCTATTTCATTTTTCTGCATATCCCCAATAAAGGTGTTCAAGTTGACGATACTGAAACGAAGGCATTTTTTAAATATTTCATTACTATTAATTTACTATTATTTTTACTATTAATTTTTTTATTAATTTTAGTACTATTATAAGACTATAAGAT